TTCATCCACGCATGTACACATACACACCGACCCTCAGGCAGCTCTTTCAAGTATTTTCTGCCAGTCTGTAGCTATTTTATTTACAGTAACTTTTTATGAATAGAATATGAATAAACTTTTTATGCCCTTTGGTTTAATTTCATAGAATTTATCAGTCTTTTATGAGATGCATTTTGCTTCAAGAAATTTTTCACTCTGTCAAAATCACAAGTTTTAGTTTCTTCTTCTAAGTTTATTAAAAGTCTGTTATTCCCCAGCAATGTGTAATGCATCCTGTATTACATCTCTGGGCCTTCTCACTCAGGTGGGTCTGTGTGACCTATTTGTTTATCCCAAAGCAAACAGTAAGTATACACCATAATTTCTACATTATCAACGTATGTTCTAACAAGGCAAGGCCATTTCCTTCTTTAGGAGTGCCTGGCTATTTGGGGGCCCCTTTCTTGTTCAAGTCCTTCACAAAATCAATGCTAAGAATTTAAGTGTGATTACATTGAATTTGTACATCATTTACAAGAATTAACTTTTTGTTACTAAATCTTTCTGCGGAAAAGCATATGTATCTATTTTATTGCGTGTTTCTTTTATAATAAAATTTCACAAGTTTACCATATATATTACATATGTTCCTAGATTTATTATTGTTCCTAGTATAAAGGCATCTCTATGGTTATCTTCTGTCTGTTTCAGATATAAAGAAAAGCAATTATTCTTAATATGGGCCTCACATCCAGCCATCTTGTGACACTTTTTAAAAAATAATCTGTTGATCCTTTTAGCTTTTTGACAGAGACATTCACACCACCTGAGAAAGGCAGTCTTATTCTTTTCCAGTCTTTTTTCTATCTGTCTCTCCTCAGGATAGGACTTCAGAACAACACCAGACAGAGGTGGTAACAGGGCCTCTCCTACCTAGTTCTTGGTTTTAGAAATGGCTTTTAACACTTTACAACTAAGAAATAGATTTTTCATCATGCTGAGGACCTTCCTTCTATCTCTAGTTTATGGACAGCATTTTGCATGAGTTAACGAATTTGATCATTTTTCAAAAGCTTTTTTTCAATCTAGTGAAGTGAATATATTTTATCTTAATCACATATTAAACAATATTTTCAAATAGAACCTACCCTTACATTCCCAGGGAAATCCCACTGGTCCTTCTTGACAACCTGCTGGATTTCATCTATGTTCCCAGTAAAATTGGCTCCTCCTGTGCCTTTCTTCCCTTATTTTTGTCAGCTGTAAGCATGAAGGTTACTCTAATCTGAGTCTAGGAGTTAAACTGTACTGATCTGTGGAAAAAACTTATGTAAGAAAGCTGTAATGCTCTGTCTGTTCTTTTCAGGTTTAATAATACCTGAAATGCAAATCTCTAAAATCTAAAAGTATTCCAGCCCAGGACTACTTCTTGAAACAGAAATTTCATATTCACTGACATAAAGTTTTCTCACTGCATCTTCTCGTTATCTTTACAGCCTCTGCAGTGCTAGATAACCATGACTTCCTGAGAATGTATTAAATACACTTTACCACCACATAATGGGCCTGTTCCAGTGTCTGCCCTCTGTTTTATTTTTGTCTTCTGTCACTAATTTCTAACACTTGTATTATGCTTACCCTACACTTTCTTGAATTTACAACTTTATATTATTCTTTAAAATGACTTTTTAAGGTAAAATGCAACTTTGTCAGTAGTTTTGCTCTTGCTAACATATGAATTTAAGATTATGAATTTCCCTCAAATACCACTTTAATCAAACTTCAAATATTTAGATATATATTAATTTCATAATCAGTCTCAGAACTGTTCTTTGTATTCTCTTGATTCCTGAATTATTTAGTAGTAACTTTTAAATTTATAGGTACTACATAGTTTTGAAATCTTAACACGAGTATTTTGTTTCTCACGTACCTGTATTACAGACAGAATAGGGTTGATATACACCAATTTTATGAAATTCAACAGATTCAGGGTTTTTAAATACTTCATATGTTGAAGAGAATAATATATTCTAATTTGGTGTTAAGAGTCTATTACACCAAACCTGATAATCTCACTGTTCAAATCATTTTTATTAACTTTTATGCTTTTGACCTCATGATAAATTCAGAGATGGATTTATCCACAATGATAAAATTTTGCTAGTGGCAAAAAATTTGCCAATTTATCTGTATTATTTTATCTGCATTATTTTGAGACTTTTTTAGGTACACAAAGATTTAGAGATATGTTTCCTAAAATATGAACCTTTTATCATATGCCGTAACTCTTTCTCAAACAGAACTTTTCATCTTAAAATTCTGCCTGATACCAATACTGACATGATCCCTTCATTTGGTTAGTAATCTGGTTAAAACACACATGCACACACCCACACACACACACACGCACACACACACACACCAAAAAACTATACCAGATGTGGATTATTAACAATATACAACTGATATTATACTTATTTTAACAGTTCACTACTGCTGCTTTTTTCTACTTTTTTTAAAGATTAAACTTCTGAGTTTTGTTTTTGTTGCTACTCACTCCACCCCACCACTTATTTGAAAGGTGTATGTTTCATTCTTAGTTCATGAGTTTTACTAACAATCAGCCCTTGGTGATATCAGCCCCTGGTGAAAAATCTTAAGCTCCCCAGCAAACAACACTAAGGCCTTAAAGGCATTAAATCTCTGAAAGATAATAAAAAGTCTTGGGTCAAGCATGAAGCAAGTTGCTAAAATTAGAAAAATTGCGTATATATAAAATTATAGGCAGTATAAACTTGTACTTTCATGTTACCAAATAGACTCTTAACCCCAAATTAGGAAGTATATATTATTCTCTTAGTTGCACAGTCAACTAAGTCAACGGCCATTACAGAAATTAAAATCTGTATGTTTAAAACAAAAAAAAGAGAAACAACACTAATAAAATAAGACTCCAAAAGGTTTATATGGGCAAATTTTATTCATCTTCCAGATGAGATAATTTCTCTGTACCTTACATGAAAAGGTGGAAAAGATGAAAAGCTTTTACCTTATACTATGAAAGGAATGTAATTTTGACAACCCAGGAAATGGTAACATACACACACACACACACACACACACACACAAATTAATCTCATTTGTGATTATACCAAAAATATTCAAGTGACTCCATATTAAAAATTACCATCCCTAATCACAATAACCATGTAGGGTGTATTCCAAATACACAAGCTGAGTTCAGCATTACTAAGCATACTAATGTAACTGTATACCAGTTATAACTCTGACATGTATTTCAAAAGCCACTGATAAATATTAATATTTTTCTTAGATTAAAAAATAGTACAAACGAGTTGAAATATAAAGCAATTTGCCTGTTAATTATTGCCAAAATATTAAAGGTATTCTTCAAAGTGAAAAAGAGATATGAATAAAAATACTCATCTCAACAAATGAGTACTGTACTATGGATCTTAACAAACGTGGAAAAAATTAAAAATACATACAATTAAAAAGTTGAGAAAAGAAAAGATAAAACTGTATTATTCATAATTATTAGTAAACAAGGAGCTTTTCATCTGGAAAACACAAGAGAATTAAAGATGAACAAGTAATTAGTAAGCTGGCTTAATATAAAACAAGCACATAAAATTTAGTAACTTTCCTACAGACCAAAACTGCAATAAAACTACTGTATGATGAAGATTATATTCAAAAGAATATATTCCATAAGTGAGCCAGGAATAAATTCGAGGGAGAAAAAAAGACACAAAACCAAGACTAATATGAAGAAAATGATAAAACTTTCTTGAAGGATATTTAAAAGTGAATGGTCTACCATAAAAGAGATATCTTATCCTGGACAAAAATATTTAGCATCATAAAAATGGTCTTTTTTTACTTAACAAGATTTAATAAATTCCAATCACAGCGCAAATAGAGTATTTTCCCTTTGCTTTTTAAAGTAACAATAATAACTTCATATGGAAAAACTGATTATGTGAATACCAACAAAGAAAAATTTTAAGGAAAAAATCAACCTACTGAATTCAAGTAAGAGTAGCACATTAAAAGACATTCCATAAAGCACTGAATAACAAAAGAGTAATATACAGATGTCTTTTAGGACTGGGGTTACTGTTCAGTGAGTGGTACAGCACTTGCCCAGCATGCATGTGGCCCTAATTCAATCCCCACGACCACAGAGGAAAAAAGAAAAAAATATTTTAAATAAATATTAAATAATCCCATAGAAGGTTGAAAGATGTGAAAAGGCAACTTACAGAACGGAAAAGGCACATCTAATATGAAAGATACAGCACCTCAAACGCATGTGGAGAGATAAAAATTAAAACGATGAAATGTTTTTTAAATTTTCCTTTGAAAAACTCAGACACTAGCAGCATTAGATGCTGGCAGCAATATGACAGAACAGGTATTTATTTGTCTCATAACTCAGGAAAATATAAATTATTACAATGCTTAGGAATGTATCCTTATATAGAAGGATATTAGCATATTCACTGCTTTAATAAAAATTAATAGCAAAAAATAAAAACTAAAAATTCCTAAATATTCATTAATGAAGAAATAATTTAAAATTCCTGATGACTATGGATAAGTAAGCAACAGTAACTTGAAAACAGGTAACAGGATCTGTACTATAATTCTGAGGAAACAGTGGAGAATGACAGTATTTGTGCAGTAAGATCCAAATCCATAAATGTTTGCACAGTTATTTAAAAGATAAAGACATCTTAAGTAAATGGCCACGCCATTACGATAAGTACATTCAATGCCATACCATCAAACATAGAAAGAATCTGCAGTTATAAAGTGTCTTACACAATTTTTTTTCCAATTGAATAGTGCTAGTAAAGTGACCACCTGTGAATCAATGATTATTTACTTATAAAGTATGTGACTACAACTTATGTAAAAAGACAGTGTATAACATTAACTCTTACAGGAGAGATCACCCTCAGCGTGTGGAAAGAAGAATTAAGTATGCTTACCAATGTCATTAATCACAGCTCTGATCTTGGAGACAAAAGGACCAACTTCACTGGAATGCATTTTGGCTCTTTCCTTAAGGTCAGCACCTGCAAAGTATTTTATTTACAAATATAATCTTGTTATATACAAAACTGTAAGGCAAAAAACAGCAACTTTACTTAAGATTAACAAAAAATTGGAAAGTCCCCTGAATCATCTGAAAAAGGAATTCTATAACCTAAGCTCTTCTCCCCAGTGACCGCCATCAGCTGGGATAAAGCATTTGTTTGTTCATAGACTATGAGGTGTTAGAGCAGTGCTTCTCAAGCTTTCTGGCCTCCAAACCCATCCCATTTTCAAAGAACAACCATCGTGATTACACTGATAGATAATTAGTCTAAAATAAACTAAAACTAAGAAAAATTTTAAATGTTTATTCATTAAAAAATACAAGTAAAGCCAAGTATAGTAGCACATGCCATAAATCCCTGGTAGTCAGGAGGCTGTGGCAGGATGATCAAGTTTGCAGATATACTGAAAAATTCATGAAGACCCTATCTCAAGATAAAATACAGCCGGACGTGGTGGAGCACGCCTGTAATCCCAGCACTCAGGAGGCTGAAGCAGGAGGATCACTGTGAGTTCGAGACCAACCTGGGCTATATAGTAAGTTCCAGGTCAGTCTCAACTATACAGTGAGACCCTGTCTCAAAAAACCAAAGAAAAAAAAAAAAAAAGATAAAATACAAAGGTCTGAGGATGCATGCCTACCCCATGCAAGGGCCTGGATTCAATCTCGATCTCCATCACCACAAAAAATAAAAATAAAAACAAATACATTCATGTTGACCAACAATTATACACTGGTCCCAGCACCGTAGCTCCTGCAAACACACTGGCAGTCCTCCTGACACTTGGGCGTTACCAGTGCCAGGCCAAGCATGTGCACACTGCATGCAGTGCCACTGAGCCATCCTGACTTCACAAATGCCACCTTGGTTCCTGCAAACCACATCTGAGAAATGCTGGCTTTAAAGTAGGAACCAAGAAACAATTCATAATTATGATTTTATTACATAAGCCTAATTTTAGAACAGAAAAAAACAGACTTAAGGAATGCTTTCAGAGATCATTAACTCTCTAGCCAGGCCTGGTTGGCTGACACCTGCAATCCCAGCACTCTTAGAGCCTGAGATAGGAGGATGGCAAAGTTTGAGGGAGAATAAAGATCAACTCACTCTAAACTCAAGACATTTTAATAAAACTAAAGAGAGGGACAACTATCATTAACTCTGAACTCAACAAAGGTATTTTAATAAAAAAAGATCTAGAAAATACTGGTCTCCATTCAAATAAGCAAACCCAGAGCTCTTTACTCTCTTATAGTTCACTGTACATTTATTATGACTATGCATGATATCAAGGATAGACAGGGCTCATACACTTTTCCAGGGGAGGCAGAACTGCAGTCCCCATCAGTTCATACATACTATATGTATCACAGAAGACCTCAAACATATAAACAAGAAACATAAGTAACATTCAACACAACATTAATAAAATATCAAAAAATAGGAAACCTAAATCTCTATCAATAAGAGAATTAAGAAAAGTAGGACACTTATAAACACAATACTATATATGAAACAAAATTAAAGAATTAAGAGTATCAATACAGATAGATCTATTGAAGGAAAAATATAATTACAGAAACATACATAATAATCACATAAATTTTTAAAACAAGAATGCTAACATGAGGAAAAAACACAAATAAGATTGCTTATGCATAGCAAAGGAAAGAAACAACAGAATGGGAGAAAATATTTGCAAATAATACAGCTGATAATTGATCGATATGCACAACATGTAAGGAACTCAAACAACTCAGCAAAAAAAACAACCCAACTCTTAAGATGGGCAAAGAATGTGAATAGGCATTTCTTAAAAGAACACATACAAATAAATAAACTGGGAAAAATGTTCAACATCACTAATCACCAAGGAAATGAAAACTAAAATTACCATGAGATGTCACCTTACCCCAGTTTAGGTGGAAGTTCTCAAGAAAGATAAGCGATAAGGTATTGGTGAGAATGTAAAGGAAAAGAGAATCCTCAAATATAATTGATGGGAATGTCAAATATTACAGCCGTTATGGAAACTGTATGGAGCTTTCTCAAAACATTAATGGAACTATCACTATGATTCAGTATCCCACCACTGGGCATAAACAAGTCTTTCCTCATTCATAGTTTTCTCCGCTGTTTTGATACCCACTCACAAAAGTGGTCCAAATATGTTAAATGGAAAATTCCAGAAATAAACAATTCATTAAGTTTTAAACTGCTCACCATTCTGAATTTCATGACAAAATTTCACTGTTGTTCTTCTCTCACTGCAGAAGTGAATCATTCCCTTAAGATACACTTACCATCCATAAGGCACTTAGTCACCACCATTTATCAGCCTGATTGTCACAATAGAGCAATATGTTCAGTGACCCTTATTTTACTTAAGAATGGACATAAAGTACAAGAGTAGTGATGCTAGCAATTCAGATATGTATGCTTCTTTAAAAAACCATAAAGTACTGTTTGAGTGAAAAGGTAAAAGTAATTTACTTATCAAGAAAGAAAGGGCTGGGGATTTAGCTCTGTGGTTCGGTAGCCTGCCTTCCAAGAGCAAGGACCCGAGTTCAATCCCTGGCACCAAAAAAAAAAAAAAAAAAAAAAAAAAAAAAAAAAAAAA